CATGCACTTGGTATGTTCTCATCTCAAAATATGTCTGCAGAACGAATTAATGTGATGATTCCTAGATGTCCATGGTGGGTACTTATCAAACCACTTGAAGAGGAAACGGAAATGCCTTCGGTTTGAGCTCTAAGGGAGCTCTGCTCTCCGTGTCCCCAGGCATTCTCAGCCATGCTGTGTGACCTGGGCTGTTCTCCTACCTTGGGCAATCTCGAGCTGTCGCTTTGCATCCCCCAGTGCGGAGAACAGGTCCAGCTTGATTCTTGTCTCTGCGCTCAGGCTGTTCTCCAGGTGCTGCGTTTTATCTTGCATGGCTGAGAGGGCTGACATTAACACCTCAGTGTCCTTCTCATTTTCCTTATACTTCCGAAGCTCCTATCAATATCATCAAAGCAGCAATGTTACAAGATAGTTTTGGCATCAATGTCTACAAATTAGCCTGAAATCACAAATAAAATCCCACTATTATTGACCTGGCCCCTAGAACACAGAATCCTGGTGTTTCATGGGTTTAGACCTCGCTCCTTAGAGGGAGTGCAAAATGTATTTATACAGTGATGTGCACATACAAAACGATAATTGTATTGGGCTGTTTTGAGATAACTGTGGACTCTGTCTCCAAATAAAACACTTTCGGGCTTCCCTGGTAGCACAGTGGTTAAGAATCCGCCTGCCAATGCAGGGGACACGGGTTTGAGTCCTGGTCCGGGAAGATCCCACATGCCACGGAACAACTAAGCCTGTGCCCCACAGCTACTGAGGCTATGCTCTAGAGCCCGGGAGCCACAACTACTGAGCCCGTGTGCCACAACTACTGAAGCCCGTGCACCTAGAGCCCATGCTCCGCAACAAGAGAAGTCACCATAAGGAGAAGCCCGTGCACTACAACGAAAAGCAGCCACAACGAAGACCCAACACAGCCAAAAATAAATAAATTTAATAAATAAATTTAAATATATATATATATATATAAAACACTTTCTTACAATCCTAATTCAGAACCACAAAGAACCGTTTCCCTGCTGCCGGCTGCAAATGTTGCTGTAATGCTGTAGTCAAATGTGCGAAAACTCTACTCTCAACCTACACTAAAAATTGTAAAAATGTTAATTATTTTGACAGGGTATACTGAAAAATAAGCCCACTTAAAACATCAGATAATGTAGCCTATATATATGTGTGTGTGCGTGCATGTGTGTGTGTGTGTGTGTGTGTGTGTGTATACACATATATATATGCTAATATTTAATTTTTTTCATTTTAAGAGAGAAATCGAAACTTATTATAGTCAATTAAAAAATACTTAAAAGTTCAAAGAAGAAAATAAAAATCACCCAAAATCCCAATGCTGCAAAAAATCTGATGTATTTTCTTTTAGTCTTTTTTAAGTATACGTGTATCTTTCAGCATAATTGAAATCAAACTATACATACAATTTTTTAAAAACATATAATTTCAACTGTTCTTTGAAAATGCAATTTTTATTGGCTGTTTAATATTCCTACATGTATTTGTACCATAATTTATTAAACTAATCTCCCATTGTTAAGATTATTTCCAATTTTTTTGCATTTATATACCACTATGATGAACATCTCTGTATATCAATCATCGGTGAGACTTTTAAATATTTACCTTAAGGCCGGAGTCTGAGGAAAATATTTTTTAAAAATACGTGACCTTTTCCAGAAAGTTACACTTCCACCAGCAACATATGAGGCCTATTTGATTGTATCCTCACCCAGGTTGATGTTACCATTTAAAAATTCTTTGCTGATTTCACAAGAGATAAGTGATATCCAATTTTAATCTATCTGTCTTTGGTGACAGATGAGGATATATTCTTACATTATTATCAGTCATCTATATTTCTTCTGTGAATTATCTGTTCATATAGTTTGCCTACTTTCTGTGTATTTGAGCTTTTCTTAGCAATCTTTATGAGCTATTTACATATTGAGAATATTAATTCTATTTTTTTTTTTTTTTTTTTTTTTTTTTTTTGTGGTACACGGGCCTCTTACTGTTGTGGCCTCTCCCGTTGCGGAGCACAGGCTCCGGACGGGCAGGCTCAGCGGCCATGTGGCTCATGGGCCCAGCCGCTCCGCGGCATGTGGGATCTTCCCGGACCGGGGCACGAACCCGTGTCCCCTGCATCGGCAGGAGGACTCTCAACCACTGAGCCACCAGGGACGCCCCCTAATTCTTTTTTTATAATATTTGTTGCAATATCTGTACCCTCCCCGATTGATTTTTTCATTTTTTTTTTTCACTTTGTGATTTAAAACAAAATGGTTTTTTTCCCTGGATTCAACTCTTCCTCTGGAATTTATTTTTGTGTGGTGTGAGATGAGCATCTCATTTTATTTTTTCCCATTGTCTAGCTGTTCCTCAGCCTTTCACTGACTAACCCTTGCAGTTCCATCCATTTCCTTTTTTTAAAAATAAATTTATTTATTTATTTATTTATTTATTTATTTATGGCTGCATTGTTGCTGTGCACGGGCTTTCTCTAGTTGTGGTGAGTGGCGGCTACTCTTCATTGTGGTGTGCGGGCTTCTCATTGCGGTGGCTTCTCTTGTTGCAGAGCATGGGCTCTAGGCGTGCAGGCTTCAGTAGTTGTGGTGCATGGGCTTAAGTTGCTCCGCGGCATGTGGGATCTTCCTGGGCCAGGGCTCGAACCCGTGTCTCCTGCATTGGCAGGCGGATTCTTAACCACTGGACCACCTGGGAAGCCCTCCATCCATTTCTGATGCCACCTTCACTGAACACTAATTTAGGCTTTGTCTCTGGGTCACCTATTCTACCCCACTGACCTGCCACTAATTTCTTATGGGCTCCATATGACTCAAATTACTGTAACTTTACAACTTATAACATTAGCCTTAAACATCCCTTTGAAGACCCAACGCCACCAAATACTTGGCTGAGGTACACACAGCCCCAAGACTGGCTATGTCCACAGCACTGGCAGCTTTCCTCCCCATGCATTGCCTAGAGTGGCCATCTGTGCAGCTGAGAGCCATCCAGAATGGCCAATTCCCTGGCGATGGACAGAGAATTAGGGCTAAGAAGAGGTGTATACGTTCCAAAGCACACTAATCTGGCCTATAACCTGAAAAAGTGAAATGAATCTCCCGTAAGTCAAATTCTGGTATAAAACATGTCAAGGACCATTAACATTTCTGGTTTGCCTTAGAATCCAGATAAACTAAATATGACTTGAATGAGCTGGACAGGTGAGAGCTTCTTTTGGTCATACAGAGATTTTCAGATGCAAGGGGGTTTGGCCTGTATCAGAAGAGGCACCATCTCCACACGGAAGCACAGAGCACAAACCTAACACGGAAGAGGAACTCGAGCGCGATGAAGTCTGTTTTTCCTCCTTTACCTGAACTTTCAGTTCTAGTTCTCTGATCTGCTCTTCTTTCACCTTCATGTCCATTGTGAGCTTCTTGCCCTCTGCTTCTAATTCTCTGATCCGATTCCGTAAGGTTTCGGTGCACTCTCCCCTTGTGAAAAAGAAGAGAAGGGAAAAAGAGGATTTAAAAGACTATAGGTTTAACTATACTGCAGGATTGATATTTTTCTTAATCTCCACAGAGTCAGATTTTAGCTTTTGGCTCAGTCTGCTCATTCTCTCTGTTCTTTATAATTTCAAAAATGATCTAAAATAATTACTAATTGGGTGTCTAATATGAGCCAGGTGCCAAGCTAGGTACTTTACCCACACTTCCTTCTTTACTGGGGTAGGGTTTATTATCCTATTTTCCAGAGAAGAAAACTGAAGCTACTTAGATATAATACTAGTTCAAGGTCACCCGGCTTGCAGGTCACAGAACTGGGATAAGAACTGAGGTTCTTCCACCTTGCCAATCCAGCAAGCTTCCCATCAGGCCATGTGACTTGAGACAAGGCACACAAGCTGAGCAAGAGAGAACCAGACGTGTGCTGTCTCCAGCAGGGGGCAGTGAGTTAACAAACATTTTCACTTTTGAGGGACTGTGCACTGGGAACATCACCTTTCTTTAGTCATGAAGTTTTGACAAGACTGGAGTAAACAGAAAAAGAAGGGAGCAGCATTAGGTTGCTTCTCAGGGCTATAATAAGGACAAACTTAAAAAGATGATGGCAATAACCAGCCCAAAGCTGGTGAACTGTTTAGGTTTAGAAACAGCCTGGTGGAGAAGGTAGGTGTCCTTTGCCTACGAAAAGGAAGGCCCAGTGAGAGACTAAAGCCTTGAGATATACTTAAGAATAAAAACAGCCTCTACATAAATGATGGCAAACAAGGACCATCCAAGGATAAGACCAAAGGCAATAAGCTTAACCAAAAGCAAAAGAAATTAAGGGTAGAGACTGAAATCAATGTACTGATTCTCAAGCATAAGAGACACTAAACAATATGGTTAAGAAACTGTCATATCCTCCTCAGGGATTTTTTTAAGAAAGAGTAACTGCTGGATGAATTAAGGAGAGCACAAGCCACACCAGATGACTGCTCAGGAAAATCTCCTGCAAGTGTAAGTGCTTCAGGAACGCTCATAAATCTTTAAATGAGTGAACAAACAACACCCCCCACCCCCCGACATCCTAAGCAGATTAGTAAAGGGTCTTGTGAATCTGTATAGATATTAATGGGCCAAGTTAGCTCAGCCATCTGCAGTAGAGTCTGCTGGGGGAAGGCAGGATCACGTAGGAGAAAGAGTTCTCTCTCCGGCTGCTATTTCCTAAAAGATGAAATGATGGTTCAACAATTATCCTACAAATGCCAGAACCCAAAAGAAGGCTATTAACATGACAGATACAAAAAAGCAAAAAGTAGAATTATATCACATAGACACAAATTTAGGGATAGAAACTTAAAATTAAGTAAATAATAATTTACCCTCCCCTGCATCTGTAAACCCATAACTGACCCCCACCATGCAGATGAACTTCACCAGTCAAAAAAACAAAGAAAAAAGAAAAAGTGAGGTAGAAGCCAAAAAGAGAAGGAGGCAGAAAGAAAGAAAGAGAGGCTCTTAACTCCCTTCCCCATCTTTTCCAGGTCATTTGACAGTCTGCTGATGTCCAACAAAGACACGAGCAGTCAGTACACAGTGCTTGGGGGACCAAGATTTTATCTTTCTTCCATATTAAGATTAAAAACACCAGAAACACACAACTAAGAGTAGAGCATAATGATAGTTCTATAAAGGGAACGGAAGTCCAGATTGGTTCCCTCGAAGCATTTAGTAATTATCAGTCTTACAGAAAGTGGCTGGAAACCCCTTTTTGAGCAGAATTTTGCCTCCCAGGTGTGGGAGGCATGGAGATTCCCTCATCCCACTTTATACAGCAGGTCACTGAGGGATGAAGTTGTCATGACAGCATAAGCTTGCACAGGTGAGGTTTAAACCAGCTAATAAAACAGTACTTAAAAGCAATCCATCCATGCATGATGGTGTATTTCCAGTCCTGCCCAAGGCTTCCAATTCCCATTCTCAGTCCAGGGAAAGCCAACCTTGGATTAAGCACTCAGGTGACATCAACATACCTAGACGCAGCAGCAAATGCAACAGCGCGGGCAGCAGTAGCTTCTTCTAACTTCTTCCTTTTTTTCTCCTCCATTAACTGCTTTTCTACAAAACTTCGGGCTTCCTGCTCAGCTTTTAGCTTTTTCTCCAACTGGCTGATATTCTGCTTATCTTTTTGCTTCATTTGCACAGCATTATGTAACCTATATGGAAATGATTGTCATACAAAGTTTTACAATTAGAAACGTCCAATATATACCCTGGAGAAACGTGGCTCCTCTTTATCATTCTGAGGCCAAAGCAAACAGGAGATTTGAACAGCAGATCATAAATGTCAACTCCCAGAGTGTCCAAGGAAAATACATTGTCATTATTATTTAACAATTCCTAAACGCCAATAAGCAAGCTGCCTTACAAGATACAGAATTGGACCTAGCCTCTGCTTTATTAATGTAAGTGATCTACAGAAGGTAATCCAGAAAATAGGATAAAACAAGTTTCTATCAGAGGAAAAGATAACTGTAGAACTAATTCTAGTACCCCAAAGCACCTTGAAAGAGCTTCAGTCTGAGACCAAGGAAGAGCTGAACCAGATCCATTGAAACTGAGGAAAAGGGTAGGAGGGGAAGGTCTTTCTCTGCCTGAATACAATATGCTGCAGCCTACTGCAGCCTTTCCTTTCCAGCTGGGAGATGTTTTCTCAGAGTATCCCAAAATAGATCTTGTAGTTAGAATCACAGGATGCTTAATTTCAGATAAAAATTTCAGCCACATTCCCTTCCCTGCTACTACCACCCCCAGCTTTACGTATCAGTATAAGGTGAGTTTCTCTCAATATATCAATGTAAGGTAAGATGTTCTCTATGTAATAACGCTAGAGCCATCACATACCTACGTGAGTCAGAAGCAATGGAAAGGTTATTTGCCTATAACGCTCTAGCTTTTGAGCTACATTCCCTGAAAATGATGAAGGACTCTGCTCTTTCAAGGAAAAGCCCAGAAAGCTCGGCACCTATAATAGTAATCACTACCCCAGACACACATTGTTTAGAGATTAAAAAAAAGACAGACCCACATTGAGTCAAGAAGTAATTCCAGAATGAATGAAAGGAAATCATAAAAGAATTCATGCAGAAGAGCTAGCTTTTTGTCTGCCTCTTCAAATAAAACCAAGTTCAACATCATTTTTTAGTTCCAGAAATCAAAGGAGATAGAGTCTAATTTTCACTCAAGGGAACAAGAGTTTCAAATTGTGGCAGAAATACCTCTTGTCAATTTTACTCATATTGTCACAAAAGCTCAGTAACTATTTTAAACTAAGAGAGGAAGTTATTAAATGAGAGAAGACAGAATAGTAATATTAATAAACTGTTTTGCTGCAATGAAATAAGTTTTCATAGATTTTATAACATGTTGAATATCTGGTCCTACATTAAATATTTTAAACATTTTGTTTAAAAAAAAAACCCCTCTGCTAGATCCCTTTGTCGTCATGAGCCTTGTGCTCCAATCCCTGGAAACAAGAGCAACGCAAGGCTGCTTGACTCATGGCAGGAGGCCCACAAGGCGCACATACTTGTTCTGCAGCAGCTCATTCTCTTGCCGGAGCTGGCCCATTTCTGAGCGGATCCCTCGCTCGGTGCTCGAGAGGGAGCTGATCTGACTGCGGAGCTCCTGTTCCACTTGCCTGCTGGCCTGCAGGTCGGCCTTTAACTTTTTAATGTCTTGTTCCAGCCTAGGAGAAGGAGAAACACAGCATCTTCATCACTGAGAGGCCACCCCAGGGGCTCTGTGGGAGACCCTGGCTGAAGCCCCTGACTGCTGGGTGGCTGGTGGAGCACCCTGCCAGCAGCTCCTGACATCAACGCAACTCCCGTCTGCAATCAGCCTTTGAATCAGTGCTTCTGCCTGGGTCTCCCCCTTCCCACCAGAGGGTAACTTTTGATTCCCCCCAAATATTTGTGAACACTGACAGGTGAAGATGGTGCTTGTGAGTATCTGAGCTGCTAATAAAGGAGGAGGGGAAGGCAGAGGGAGGGTGCCTGAAGGGCATGGTCCTTTCTCCACTGGTGAATTCCCCATGCCCCTCAGCAAGGGAGATATGCTAATAACAACCAGCTCAGGACCCACATGCTTTGAGATATCCTGATAGATCAGAGTCTACTGTCTGAGATTCCCTCCCACCATGGGCCTAGAAGAAAACAGTGTCTGAGATAGCCTCCTGAAACTGCTAGCATCCTTGCTAAATGATGTTCACACTTGTGGTGACTGTGACAGAAGAGCTCACTAGACTCAACAACAATGAAAAAAGGAACAAATTACATGATCTACAAAGCAAAAGAAAACTCAGTCTGTGAAATGAAGCTTATCTTTTCAATTCCTTACTCCTGTTCCATCTATTTTCTTTAATGCAGTTATAGTTTCACTTTAAGTGATATGTATTGGGGAGCTATTACATGCGCATGTAGGACTGAAAAGGGTCAACAAAGAATATAAAGTTAAGCCCCCTTCTTCATGAGAGGACTTTACAATTTCACTAGAGGCCAATGAGCAGACATTTAAAATGATTAAACCATAAGACAGGAAGGCCATGGTTAAAAACATGCTAAAGGGAGTAACTAATACTTAATGAGAACTTACATGCCAGGCAGTGTTCCATAGGTTTTAATGGTATGAACACATTTAATCTGTACAACTATGAGCTAAATTGAATAACCTTGGCAATTATTAGTCCCGTTTTTACAGATGAAGAAATTTAGATTCAGGAAAGGTTCCAGCCCAAAGTCACACAGGCAGCCTAGCTCTAGACTCCACTCTCTTCTCCAGCAGGCCAAACTGTGGCTCTATCAGCCACAGCATGGCATGGGGAGAAGTGTCGCATGAGCTCCGAGGAGAGAAGATGGGAAATGAGTTGGGCCTCGAAAGTTGGGCAGGATTTGCAGAAGTAGAAGGGGAGGAGAAGGCATTCTAAACAAGGGGAAAACAGGCTCAAAAGCTCAAAGGTAGCAACAGCCACAGGCATTTGGAGGCAGAGCAATCAGTCTGGCCTCTGAGGAAGGCTTGTACTCTGGGAACAGGGTGAGAAAGGATAGAAGGGACCTGGCAGATTAGACCATGGAGAACGGCACTGAAGTTCAGGCCAAGGATGACTGCCAGGTGAGACTCAGAAGACACCCTTTCCTACAAACTTACAGTAGGCAAAAGTCAGTTAGCTCTGAAGAGACTCTTGTGCATTTCACTAACCCAACATACCAACAGAACCAAGAATTCTGGAGGGCAATGGTGATCTCTCCTTGGAACTGCCAGGTCCATAGACTAGGTCCTTACAGATATGTTTTATGAAGCACTAAATCCCCAGGGCCCATCAATCACAGTGATCAACACTTACTAAATACATATATCGGTTGCCTGGCATTCCTTAGAAAACCAAAGAGCAGCTTTATTTACCTGTCTTACCTTTAGCCAATTGAAACAAAATCTCAAAACCAAAAAGTCATGAAACATCAATGGTTAGCTCCCAGGCCCAGTAGCCAGTCCCCCTGTCCAGTGCCTGGGAACACAGGCTAGAGACTCTGTGTTCCAGAAGAGCTGCCGGGTCTCCTGACACAGCTCGCTCCCCAGGGAAGCGTCACAAATGGACATCATGCCACGCTTTCCCTATTGCCAGGGTTATTCCAGTTGAATGTACTCCCGGAACTGCTCTAAACAATTACCGACTGGCATTTATACCATCCCCACACCGTCACTCATTCACCCGAAGTTACCCAAGGGATATTTTCTAAAACAGGTCGATGCTGTCAGGTTATCCTCATTAAGAAGTTTGGCTGAAAAATGTGTTAGGTAATTTATCTTTTTTGAGAAGTCGGTTTCACAGCCCGAGGACTGCATTTTTAGTAAAAAGGATGAGCTTTAAGAAGAGACTAGGGACTTAGCAAGGTTTAGAAATGGGGTATAGGATCAGGATTCTCGACTCAGCTCTGGAGCCAGCTCTGCGACCCTGGACGAGGCATATAACCTTTCAGGACTCAGTTTCCCCATCTGAGGCAAACGATCTCTAAAGTTCCTCCCAGCTTGGTCTAGGATTTCTAGGCCTGACACACTTACCACTGGCTGTTGATCTGCTCCTTCAGATTAGCAACCTAAGCTGTATCATATGCAGAGGCCCAGGAATCAAGTTCCACACAACCAGCCACTGGGGCAAAGCATGTGCCGCAGTTGGGAATGAAAGAAAAATTAAATCTGAGAAGTCTAGATGTCAAGAATTTTGAAGTTATTACTTTTTTAGAGTTTTTAACCTATAAAAGCCAAATTTCCTACCATGAACTAAGAATAACAATTTCTGAATGAAACTTTAGAGTTCTTTGAAAAATGTAAAAAAACCAAGGAGTTAGTGCAGTTAGGAGAGCAAAGTGTGCAAAAATATCTAGAGTGTAACTTCTGGAGATCACAGAACACTAAACAATATTTTTTGTGTGTAGAACTATGAAAATTTTATCAAAGACACATAGCAGCACAATACAAGAAAAATAAAGTGACGTGGTTACAGGGTGTGTTCACTTTTTGAAAATTCATAAGTTGTACACTTAAGATTTGAGCACTTTTGTGGATGTGTGTTACACTTCAATAAAAAGCTTATTTTCAAAAATTAAATAACTTAAGTTCACAAGGCACAGAATTAAAATGCTTCAGGATTTTCGTAACTGTTGCCATTGGTTCTGTATAACTCTGAATGACTGTTTTCCAAACAGTTGCAGCAAACCTGTTAGTTAACACAGCATTCCTCAGTTTAAGGAACACTGGTCTATAGGAAACTGCATAACAACATGTAAGATAACTTAATGTGCTAAATGGTAAATTCTCAGTAACTTTTAAAATTTATTAGGGGAAATTTTTCATTGTCTCTCTGAAGAAAGCATTAATTTAATGTTGAACATTCACTATATTTTAAATCTTAACTGAGGTAGGTGGTAAAATGATTTACAACCCCTTATTGGATTTATGTTTTTATTGCAAAAGTGATACCCAGTCAAAATAAAAAACTGCATACAACAGAAAAGCATAAAGAATAAACATGTAAACAACTCATAATCCTTTCATCCAGACAGAACCACTATTTGCATTTGGTTTACTTCATTTCTGTATGTCTTTTTCTTTCTTTTTCTTAACACATGTAAACATTTTTCATATTGCTGAGAGAGTATCACATGTATAGTTTACATATCTTAAGCACCTTTCCACACTATTAGAAACTTTTCACAAACAACTTAATTGCTGCATAATATTACACTGCACAGATGTACTGTACTACCGATCTCTGCATATGCTCAATAAAAAAATGTATACATGAGTTTTTAAAGAATTACATGAATTAGTAAAAGTTGAACTGAATCGAGCCAGTCAAGTGCCAGGGGCATTTATTAGACAGATAACTACTACTTGCCATAATGGTAAACTTAACGCTTTTGTGCTGAAGGTCAATACTTACGAGGTAAAATGCAGATATATAATTTATTGCTGTGAAACACCAAGAAGTACGGATTAAATGGTTAAGAGGTTAATACAAAACCTTCAAATGTATTCATGGGATTTTACTAAAATGTCCATAGCTGCAACCTAAATTTGGAGCACATGGCCAGGAAGAAGCTGAGGCAGAAGTAACAGTTTATAAGCCTTAAAACTAATTTCAGTAAATAGGAATCAAAAGGAAGCAGGAAAAAATGTCATCTCCAAGCTCAAACCCATGTATCAGAGCTAAATCCTACTCTCCTTCCTACACAAGAGAAGATTAAGGGGTAAAAGAGAACTTTCCTCCAGCAGAACTATAAACTCATCCAAAAAAGAGAAATAACGGGTCAGAGAGATCTTAACCAAACTTTGGTAAGGCTTCGGCAGGAAATAAACGTACTCCCTCCTTGCCCAACTCCTGTGGCGCCAGTCACCCTTACGAAGGCTGTCCAGTAGTGCTGCCACTTGGGATACAGATAGGGCCCACAGCAAAGCTGGAGTCTATGTGTCCAATAAATATGTCTATTTGGGCCCAATCAGACAAGCCAGGGGTCTAATCAACTCAGAATGTTACCTGTTAGGTCCAGGCACCTTTCCGAGCCACTTTACTCCACTTTACTGATAAAATTTTAAATCAACTTCTAAACTTGTAAGCTACCTCTAAACTCCAGCAGAGCACCTAACTCACAAGCAAGAGGTGGGGCCGCTGGAGCAGCCCTTCCTCAGGGCTCCACTCGCCGGCCCAGCTGACTTCAGAGCAAAACTGCCAAGCTGAGGAACGCTCGTACCCACTCCAAACCTCAACTCTACCTCATCTCCTCCCTCATTCCACCCAACTAAGGTACGCTATAATGTAAATGGTTGATAATTATTTAATTTTAAGTGAAAAAGTTACATTTTAATAAGGGGTAATTTCCTAGCTGACCAAAAGAATGAAGCTCAAACCTGAGTCTTTCAAGGCAGGCTAAGTAAGAAAAATATCTTTGAGCATCTTGAAGCACACCTGGTAGTAAAACAAAGTACAGTATTCAAGTGCCAGCTTTTAGTTGAAAGAGGTATTGTTAAGCATCTGAAAAGGTAGGGAGATATTTATGTCTTAAGTGTTTGTAATCCTTATCTCTGTGAATTACTTGAATTACAGCCACAGTGCTATGACTTCACTGAAAGTTTAAAAGTCTCCCATGTGTAGAGCCAGTACCTTCATGTTTTTATAAAGCCTGAGGCTTTATG